AGGATCATGTTGAAACTCAGAAGGCTCCCAGGGGAATCTCCCGAACAATTCAGTTTACGCAGAAATCGCAAAACCAAGGGGTTCAAAGAAGTCTCATGGGCTATTTTCCATTTGGATTCTGCTATTAGTTGGGTTTCACACATGCAAAGACATCCAGAAGATTTTTCGTCGAGGCTGTTTCAATATTGCAAGCATTGGGTCATTCAGAATCGCTCCTTTGACCACTTTGGTGGCAGCCGTACCCACTCTCTCTCGCATAGGGGGTACGTTTTCAGGTATGACAAGGATGCCTGGACCACCTTATTTTCTCCACAGGGCTCTCGGGACACAAAGTTTCGTTTGGGCCTCGCTAAAGAAATGCTCGATTGGGTTCGGCAACCGCTTCACCTTCGCCTTCAGTAGCCATCGGCTCTGTCTGGTGCAACCAGACACACATTTGCTATCGTACTGCGCCCAGCGGGGCCCCTTTTACTTTCACCACGGACACCTGTTACTCTCAGGATCTGGATTGGACTGGGGATCAGATTCAGCCGACTATCCCCCTTTTCTTTGGCTTCGACCGCCACGCCTTAGATCGCTGGGCTCGGAAGCGTCTGGTCAAGATGGAAACGAAGCCCATTCTTACCTCGAATGAGAAGAAAGTCAAGTTGCAGAAGAAGCTCGAACAGAAAAAGGAGGACCAAGCAAGGTCAGTCGAGTTCAAGAATCAGGGTCTCAAAGCCAAAGCATCCTCCAGTGCTGACCCCCGCGAAGCAAGGATACTCCCCACGACGCCCCCAGCACCTGTGCACAGGGGAGACTCTGCCTCTCGGAGCCGTTCGCCGATTGCCAGGAAGATGCAGTACTCAAGTGGGTTCAAGAAACAACCTCAGGGCGGCGGGTCGGGGTCGAAGCCCGATTCGGATGATGCCTTACCAGAGACGCAGGACTACCGTGGGGAAACACCTGTCAAACCGGTGGGCGGCACTACTTGGGAAGTACCGTCTTCGGAATCTCCAGGCTCCAGGAGTTCCTCCTCTGGCTCTGAAGCGGAAGTCGACTCGCCTGACCGAAAGTCGCAGCCTGCTCCAAAGAGCTGGGAACAGGATAAGAAGCCCTGGATCAGCAAGTTAGGCCCTCCAGTGCTGAAGTCCCAGTTGGAGTACGATCATTCTGGATGCCCAATTTTCGCCCCAAAGGGCGGCACAGACCATACCAGCTCAAGGCGCTACATTATGGTTTTCGTTCCCCAGCTTACAGGTTTGAACACCTTGGTCGGGGAACACTTCCAAATCATCACAGTTCGTGAGCTTACACCTTTCATCATCGATAATCAAGGTCCACTGATTTCAGACAGTATCCCAGTTTTGGGAGAGCACGGCTATCTCACTACCAGGGACGTCACGAAGATTCTCTGGCACTTTGGGCTCAACACGTTTCGTTCCAAGGACATCCACTTGTTTAACGCGCGGTTTTATACCAAAGAAGCGTTCATTGGCCCTGAGGTCTGCCCTAAGAAGGAGAGGCTACACGACAAATCTCAGATCTTCGCTGGCAGCTGTATTGTGGCACTCCTCTACGTCAAGGACATGTATGAAGATGTTGGAGATCCTATAACGGTGGAGTCTGGCAATAACGGTGCCAATGTTAGGTGCCACCTGCTTTGCAAACCCCGTTTCCTGATGTGACCGAGGCAGTTCAGAAGATACGAATAAATTCTTCTTCCCTTCGGGTCCTCAGCTCTCTTCCTGGTTCAACTCTGGTTCAATCGGGGACTTCAGGACTTTTCTCTGAGGCATGAATTAAGTTCTGCTCTCCTCAATATGTCCGTCAGGGCCAAAGTAGTGGAGTCGGTTCTTGCTTTGCCCACAGCCTCGATGGGACATTTCTTAACTTGGGATTGCTTCGCTCTTAGTTTGGCTCTTCACTTTAGTTCAAAACGGGCTTGGATGGGATTGTCAATTTCATCACTTTGCCAGGATTATGGCTTTCGCTTCAATATGGGATTGCTTGGGATTACGAGTGTCTCAGGGCATGAGGCCCCCAGGTCACATCGCAGGAGCTGGGACTGCATCATATTCTTCTCAATTCGGCTGACGGGGTTAAGTGAGATTGTTGCTCACTCTTTGCCCAAGTCCTCGAAGTTTCAAGTTCTTTCTTGGGGTAGTTTGGCGTTCAGTTTGCCTCTTCACTTCAGTACAAATGGGTTCGGCCTGGGATTGTTAATCTCACCTTGCTGGCCAGGACGATGACTGCCGTCCGATCCCTGATAAAGTGCATCTCTTTTCTCTATCTCTTCATCGTTCGAATCCTTGTCTTTCGGTTGGCCTGTTGGCTTGGCTGCTTTCTGTAGTCATTTTGGTTCAATTCGCTTTGCACGTTCTGCTCCAACCTCTTCTCAAGTTTTCTGGGAACACACTCTCATGCTTGCCCCTCAGAGGGTCGTCAGGCCATGGAATTCAAAATCGCTCCAGTGCTGCATCTTCGAGGCGTGGGCATCCGCCTGCCCACGTGCACTGGCAATCGAAAGTTCCGAGATCGTCCCTTTAAATTCAGGATCTTACCACCCACGGAGATGTGTCACACTCCACATGTACGAGAAGGGGCGCGAATTCGAGATACCTCTCAGGCAGCTATGGGATCTCTTTGAGGAGTTTTTCTCAAGTAAGGCGTGCAAAGACCTTATTGGGATTGTGGGAATTGCAGTACGCTCTATGTCTTTTGTACAGATCAAGACAATGTCATACAAGGGCGCCGTGTTCTACGACAACCGCTGGTCAGATCCTGGGAATTTCATTTACACCGTCTGGTGGAATATTTGGGGTCAAATGGCTAGGTATCTTCAAAGAAGACAACCTACCAGTGCTTCGTCCAAGTCCATGGAGGAGCTTCGATCAGTCGCTGGTCGTGTCACCGATGTACAGAGGATGGTCCGAGAACGGTGGAACAGGGAACCCGGCACTTCTCGGTGGCTAGAGCTCATCGGAGATTTGATGGAGCTAGGGTTGGGAGCGGGGTATGTTGAGCCAGATCGGTTCTGGAACATCATTCAGGGGATTTCTCCCATCATCTGCTCCATTCGGTCCATTTTGACGTTTGCTGATCAACATGGGTCTTTCGCTAGGACCGGGAAAGACCGTCGCCTTTTTCGCGGCCCATGTGCACCCCACACTCGGAAGTTTGCCGTGGCAATGTTCCACGGAATGCAAGTGCACAAATTTAATGTGACGGAATCCTCAGAGGTATGGGTATCTTACCTAATTGCAGCCTCAGAGAACAGGCTCCAATACTAATGGAGCGGGGGTATTTGACACCCCACGGAATTTACATTTGGGTCTGTTTCGAGACCTCTTTGTGTTCTCCCCTCTCTCTTTGCCTCCCGCCTACGGGATTGGCTGACACCAGGAGATGTCACTTGTGCGATTCTATCTGGGACCCGCCTGATCTCTGCGATCTTAGGGACACCGTGGCTTCGCAACAATCCCGCCTCCCTCTGTCTGCCTCTGATGGGCCCTTCCTCGTCCCTTGCCTCCTGTCGGCTCCTGCAGTCTCGGGCTCAAGCTTTCGGTATGCTACTTCCCAAGGCGTCAGACCCTCACGTTATCTTTCAGGGGAAGCTTTGCAGGTCTAAACGCAAAGTCTGCTTCCTGTCCAAACAAGACCTTGAAGCACTCTCATACTGCTCTACGCTGCTATTCCAAAGGGTGGTCAAGTTGCCTGCTCGGTTTCTTATACCATCGGACCTTGGTGGTCCACATCTCACATATGACTGGTGCAAAATCCCGCTCTTCAAAGCTTGTCGGGACAGCGGCTTTAATAGACTGTATGTCAACGTTCGGGGTCCCGACGAAAGGGTTCGGAGAGTCCCTTGGAAAGAACTGGCTGTTGGTCAGTAGCCGTTTCGCCTCAAACCCTGACGGGAACTCTCGTCCGAGACGGCTGGGAACATCCACATACAATTCAGGGGATGGCCAAACGCAGCCTTCCAGCCAAGTTAGCAGCTAGGAAGCGTCTCAAGTGGACACACGGCTCAGGTGGAATGTGGAACTACTGTGAAGAGGAAAAAGTCTACACCAAAGTCTGGTACACGGAGTACTATGACACGTGGTTCGACCCCGAATCTGGCTGGCCTCACCCAGTGGTATGGTACCTGTCTGACTACTGGTGGGACGGAGACTTCTTTGTGGAAAAGTGGCGTTGGAAGTATCCGTGAAGACCTCTCCTGGGACTCCCACAGTCTGAACCTCTTGGCGTCTGCGGTGCATGGGCCTGCGGCTTTTGGAGGTCTCTCAGTTCCCCTTCAATCTCCCCTGCATGCTCTTCAACGTCGGTGGTTGGCAAAATATAAACATTCCCAGCCTTCTTGCGTCAGACTTGCTAGAATTCAATTACTTCATATGCCTTGATTCACCTGGGGTGGGTTCTCACGGTTGGGCTCTCACTCGGCTTTACAGTTTCTTTTGTATGCCTCCGTATCTTCTGGGATCATTGCGTGCTTGGGACATTCAGTTTAATGTCAGGCTCTCTTTCACCACATATATCCGACTGGGTTGTCACTTATGTATTTTGGGTTTCATGAGACTCAATGAAAGTTCTCTTCACTTCTTAACCACTTCAGGTTGTGGGAACATGTGCCCTCAAGTTTGGCTTCACGAGTTACTCAAGTTACTCGAGCTACTCAAGTCACTCAAGATATTTCGATCAATTGGAGCATAATCCATTACCTTGCATTACGTTTCTCATTGCTCTCATCTTTATTCAAAGCGAGAGGGTCCTCATGGTGGATTTCATTCGGGGACATCGGACAGACAGTCTTTCATTCATGATTTCTTTCAGTATCATGGGTTTCAATCCTGGGTTGGGCTTCATCTTTGTTCTGCCCCTTTCCTCTCCCGCTTCTCCCCCCGCTTCCCTCTTTCTCTACCGTACGCATTTGGCGTATTGGTGGCTTCTCAGGTTTGTGTTTTGGGAGAACCGACCTTTCAAGGCGCTTCATCATCATCATCATCATCATCCGCATCATGACGCCCATTCGGAAGACCGATGGCCCCTTCATCCCAGATGACCCCACGTTGGCCAGCGCTGTCGACGACGAGGACGAGCGCGCGCAGGCATTCACACAGACGGTCCTGAAGAACGCCGTTTGCAACGCCATCGCCAAGGGCCCCTCGCAGGAGTCTTTCGTGCGCGGCGTCATCCAAGGCTTGGCCAAGGAGTTCGAGCAGATTGACTTGCTCGACGTCGGGGGGGTTCTCGCGGGGCTTATCACGGACATCCAGGACGTGAGCCGCGTGTGGGCCACTGCCATGAGCGATGAGCCCATCGCCGACGTAAGTGAGGATGCTTACGGCTCCATCTCCCGCTTCGTGAAGGCGATGAGTTCCTCGGGCTCGTCGGTTTTGCACTTCGTAGGGGCGGTGACGAAGAGGACGCCGTTCTGGTCTCGCAGGGTCGAGGCGTTCAGCAACAAAGTGCCGTTCTTGCGGGAGAACTTGCAGGCGTTCCGCATTGCTCACGGGGTGGTGCTGAAGGCGAAGGCGCGGGGCTCGGGGGGATTCTGATGTTCACTCATATTTCCCCTGCCCTCCCATTGCACCTCACGCAGCAATGCCACATCGCCCCATCCTCCACCGCCGCAGTCGTTTAACTTCGGGGTACGGGGTGGAGGCACCTTGCCTTATTACTCGGCTACCGTACTCTACCCCTAGCCCCCCGCCCCTCCCCCCCCGCGCACTTGGAGCCCTTCTCGCCCCGCACTCAACGCTTCCCCCCCGTTGGTTAACTTCCCCATCCCTCCTGCTGCCGCGGTGCTCTCCCCCCTGAGACTGAGACTGACGACGCCGTGATTGACCTCGCCGTTTTGCGCGACTACTGCGGCAAGTGCGTGACGTGGAGGCTCGGCTTCCCAGCTGGCATGACCAACGACTTCGAGTCGTTGCTGAAGGAGCTCATCTGCTCGATCTGCCTGAACTTGACGAGCGACGCCTCCCCGCATTTGGTCGCCGCAGACAGGGTGAAGCAGGTTTCGAATTTGGCCCAGGAGGCGTCTTTGTCCTTCGCCCTGGACGCTAATGTCAACGCAGCGAGCTCGCATGTGGCCACGTTTTTGGGCAACCTGGAGGCGGCGACCAGCCAGGAGAACTTGACGAACGCGTGTAAGGACCTGCTTCAGTCGGCCGACCCTGGTGCTGTTGTAAACGACCCGACGTTCAAGGACAACTCGTTGGAGAGTGTGCGGAAGCTGCTCAGGATCTGCCAGAACTACCAGTCGGGGAAGCTGAAGAAGACTGGTAACCCTGACTGGCCGTTCGTCGAGGCTGCCATGTTGGGTCTCGTGGTCGAGCTGGCCACGGATTCCGCGGGCGAGCACTCGCCCGAGTACTTGCTATGCCTGGAGAAGCTGCACGCTGCTCAGGGGAACAGTGACGCCGCCATCCAGACGTGCATCAACGTGATTAAAGCTGGCGTCGAGTTGGGCTCAGCGCTGGCCGCCGCCGAGACGTTCAGCAAGACGGAGGGCTTCGTCGCCACGGCTGCCTGGGCAGAGCACTCGCGCGTGTTGGAGCTGCGCGTGAAGCAGGCGAAGGCCTTGGTCCCGAAAGGCGGGCCATACCCCGCGGGGCTGCCGATGGCGTACCTCGATAACATCGTCAAGCTGGTCGACACTGCGGACGCCTTGATCTCCAGCAGCGGTGCGGCTAACAGGGACATGTCGAAGGCGGCGCTCGTCCAGGTGTTCGCCGAGCTCCAGCAGATCAGCGACGGCACCGCGAACGGCAAGCACTGGAGCGAAGGGCTGCCCAAGGACGCTGACATGAAGAAAATCATTTCCCACGTGAAGGGTGTCACCAAGGGCGTCAGCTTCGCTGCGATTAAGACCAAGGTCGACGACGTGGAGCGCTCCTTGGGCGCCTACAAGAAAGCGCGCGGCTTCATGTCGGAGCCCGCCGACGACGCCCTCATTCATGATATCCAGAAGGAGTGCTTCAAGGCCCGCACCACCGTCACGGAGAACCTAGTCGCCATGCATTGCGACGTCAATGCCAACGATCCTGATGCGATGCGGGTTGCAGTGGTCAGCGAGATGAAAGCGTTCAGGGCCTACCAGGGCGCTGCCAAGGATATGAACTTGACCTTGGCCCTTGCGCTGAAGAGCGTCATCGCCAACAGGTCATAGGTGATGCCGCGTGAACGTTGATGCCAGCTTTGGGTAGGGACCGTCCACGGGGGAGAGGGGTGTAGGACGGAGGTTTGGCGGGGGTGGTGGAGGGCCGATGCGGTCGGCGACGAGGGGGCGGGATGAGACAGGGCGGCCATGGCAAAGCAATCGGTGGGAGGACCGGGGGACAATGAGGATAGGCTGATGAGGCATCGCTCGTGCTGGCGGTTGCTCGCGTGCGAGGGCTGCGTGAAGCGTGCTGCGAATTCGATGCGCAGCACGCGATATGTTCACATCGCGTTTTTTTTTTTTTTTTTTTTTTTTTTTTTTTTTTTTTTTTTTTTTTTTTTTTTTTTTTTTTTTTTTTTTTTTTTTTTTTTTTTTTTTTTTTTTGCCAGGCGACTTGGCTCCGCGCTCTTGCGCCCCGTGCCCACGCCTCCCTCACCTCTCTGGCTGTGGCCGCAATCCTTCCGTTGCGCCATCTTGTGCCTCCTCGTTCTCCTCGGCATTGGGCACATCTCCCGAGCGCTGGGCCAGGTCGCCGATTGATCGAACGCTCAGGTTTCGACAAGCCCGCATCTGCTCGACCTGGGCCAAGGGCGCCAAGAATGGCCAGGTCGCACGGTGCGCCTGATCAGGGGCAGGAGCGTGGAGGAGGAGAGAGGGGAGGAGGAGGAGGAGGAGGAGGAGTAAGGTTTAGAAGGAAGGAGGAGGTGAGGAGCATGTTGAGGTGGAGGACATTGGGAAATTGGACCGGGGGGCTGCCTCGTCCACATCCTCTCTCCTCCTGCCCTCCCTCCCTCCCTACCTCCCTCCTCTCCTCCCCCCCCCCCTCCCTCCCTCCCTCCCTCCTCCCCCCCCGTCCCTCCCCTGCCACCCCCCTCCATCCCTCCTACTTCCTCCTCCTTCCTCTCTCCTCCTCCTCCCTCTCCCTCCTCCTCCTACTCCTCCTCCTCCTCCTCCTCCTCCTCCTCCTCTCCTCCTCCTCCTCTCCTCCTCCTCCGCCTCCTCCTCCTGCTCTTCCTCCTCCTCCTCCTCCTCCTGGCCCCATGCGCCATTCTCTTCGCCATCGTTCCCCGCCGCTCTTTCTCCCGCCATTCCTGCCCGCTTCAATGCTGTCGCCGTCCAGTCATTTTGTGTGCTTGTGCAGTGGTTAAGTGACATTACGGTGAGGTCCCCAGCTCATTGGAATTATGTTGCCGCGGTGTCGCATTTGGTATTCTCCTCGCGGCGAATCTCAGCACTCGGGCCAACGATGTACACCGAGCGTTATTTTGAAACCCCTGGGGCGCAGCCTGTTATTCTATCGCCACGTATGTCATATTTGTCGTCTTTGTACTAAAGATACTTTGTCTTCAGTTAAACGCTATTGTATTTGTTTTTATATTTCGTCTCCTGTAGGAGATGTCCAAATCGTCAACTCCACAGGGGGCTTGCTCGGCTCAGCCTCTGGTGGGAGGCAAGGCGCCCGGGCGTTCAACAGGTGGTCGCAAAGCGTGACGTGGCCAGGGCCTTCAAGTGAGTTCGGGACGACGCTCCCGGGCAAGGAGGTTGGGGTGCCAGGGCGGGTTATCCTGATCCACGGCGTGCTGGTCTTCGGCTGGGCCGGCAGCCCCGGCGAGTACATGGCGTTCGCCTGGGCGGCCAAGAGCGAGCATGAGAGGAGGAAGCCGCCGGCGCCCAGGATCAAGGATCCTGTCAAGTACGCCTGCAGGCTCGCTGAAAGCCCAAGGACCTCCACGGCTCCAGGCCTCCCAAACGGGGTCCGAGTGCGCAGACGGGGTCGAAGGATCGCGCCGCGTCGCCGATGCATCGGCGCTGTGGCTGGATGTGGAGCCCGATGTTCCCCATGTGTACACCTTAGGCGATGCTTAAGAAAACCTACGTTTTCGTCCAGAATCTCAATTATTCTTAACTTTTCAATGTAAATCCCAAGATTTTGATAGAAGTTCTGGGTTTTTATTCCAGTTCTGAGACTCTGAATTTCTTAACCCATGATTTCTTAAGCATTTCGCAGGGTGTATGTCGGCGGTGCAGCGCCGACGTCGGCGATGCATCGGCGATGCGTCGGCGACGCGGCGCGAACCTCCGACCCCGTGCACGGTCGTGTCTTGCCGACGCCGCAGCGGCCCCGCCGTGGGCGTTGTCGGCGGTGCAACGCCGACGTCGGCGACGCATCGGCGATGCATCGGCGACGCGGCGCGAAGCTCCGACCCCGTGCGCGGTCGTGTCGTGCCGACGCCGCAGCGGCCCCGCCGGGGGCGTTGTCGGCGGTGCAACGCCGACGTCGGCGACGCATCGGCGATGCATCGGCGACGCGGCGCGAAGCTCCGACCCCGTGCGCGGTCGTGTCGTGCCGACGCCGCAGCGGCCCCGCCGGGGGCGTTCGAGGTGGAGCGCCGCCCGTGGCCCAGAGGCGGCCGACGAGGAGCGAGTCGGCGAACGAAGGGCCGCACGAGGCGTCGGCAACCAGCGCCGGGGCCTTCACGACGCGAACCTGTCGGGTCTCAAGAGACGGGGGTCAATGCAAACGGGGGTCGGTCAGAGCGCCGGATCTCGCAGGATCCCGTAGGGCCCGGGGCGCACTGACCCGGGCTTGGGCGGTTTGGGTGCAGGATCCTGCAGGATTTTGCAGGATCCTGCACGGCTTGACTGACCTGGGTCTGGATTGACCCGGGTCAGAAGCTCCCCGAACCTGCCGCACTCGGACGCCTTCTGGGTGGCCCCATCGTTCCTGGTCCCGCGCTCGCGCGGGCCGCATGCCTCGCCGCTGCATCGGCGATGTGGCGCGAGCCTCCGACCCCGCCTGTTTTCAGGAGGGAAGCTATGTCAGGAGCGAAAGAAGGACGTACATGTACATGAATCCACGCTGGTTTCGAGAGTGCGCATTGCGCAAATGTTCGTATGACGCGGCCGGTCTCGCGGATCGAGGGGCCGTGTTCATGTACATAGCTGGGCGCGTACGTCCTTTGTGGGCTCCCTACTATGGGAACATATGGGCAAGTCCATCGCCGATTCCCAAGCATATGTGGGGAAACATGGGAAGTGTTGGGGGGGGGAGACGAACACCCAGGGAAAAAAAGTGGTGAGATACCGGGGATCCTGGGATTTGTGCCTATTCATTTACGTGCCCTCGGGCACCTTCCGAAGCGCGGCCCGGAGGAGGAGGAGGAGGAGGAGGAGGGTGAGGAGGAGGAGGAGGAGGAGGAGGAGGAGGGGGAGGCCCGGAGGCCTCCTGAAGCGCCGCCCGCGGCGAGCCACGGCGGCCCTCGCAGCAGGGGCGCGCCCGCGCGCGGCCCCACGCCGGAGGCCACGCCCGCGGCGCGATGCCGCCGCGCCCGCGCGCGCGCGCCGCGGCGCTGCTCGCCGTCGCGGCGGCGCTGCTGCCGGCGGCGCGCCGCCCCCGCGCGGCGTTCCTGCCGTGGCCCGCGGCGCCCGCGCGGGGCGCAGGCCTTGGCCGGCCGCTCTTCGGGGGTGGGCAGAACTCAGGAGGGGAAAAAACACACAGACACAATTAATCGGCGATTCCCAGAAAATATGGGAAAATATGGGAAGTGGGGGAGAAGACAAAAACCCGGAATCTTTTTATTTGTGTGTATTTATTTGTGTGTTTGTGGGCCCCTTCAAGAACCCCCAGCAGTGACACGTCGATTAGTGAATTGTCCGCTGTCGGTTCTCGAGAGGGCGCCGTGGCCGTTATCTTCCAGGCTTGCGCCCGCCAGGTTTGTCGGGCTGGACGAAAGGGGGGGATTGGGAAAGGGGGGGTTACGAAATCTGCTGCATGCAGCTGATTTCGGCCTCACAAGGGGCCCATTCCTCGATACATAGCCGCCTCTGGCGCCGGGAAAATCAGCTACGTGAGCTGATTCTCAAACCCCCCCTTTGCTATCCCCCCCTTTGGCCCGACCCGAGAGAGGGCGCGATACTGTACGCCCGCCGCCGGCTTGGTACCCTTTCTGGCGCCGAACCAACCCATCCATATACCAAGCCAGCGGCCGCCGGCTTGGTACCCCGCCGGCTTGGTACCCCCCCGGGGGCTCCTCCCTACCAAGCCAGCGGCCGCCGGCTTGGTACCCCGCCGGCTTGGTACCCCTCCAGGGCCTCCTGCCTACCAAGCCAGCGGCCGCCGGCTTGGTACCCGCCGGCTTGGTACAGCCCGGAACCCCTCCAGGGCTACCTCCCTACCAAGCCAGCGGGCCGGATGGTTACCCCGCGGCTTGGTACCCCTCCAGGGCCTTCTCCCTACCAAGCCACGCAGCCCGGCCGCGGCTTGGTGAGTGCCGGTTGGGTACACCCCTGGGGGCTCATCACTACCACAGCCAGCGGCGCCGGCTTGGTACCCGCCGGGGGATGGTACCCCCTCCAGGGCTTTCCTCCCTACAAGCCAGCGGCCGCCGGCCTTGGTACCCCGGCGGCTTGATACCCTCCAGGGCCTCGATACCAAGCCAGCGGCCGCCGGCTGGTACCCCGCCGGCTTGGTACCCCTCCAGGGCCTCTTCCCTACCAAGCCAGCGGCCGTCGGCTTGTTACCCCACCGGCTTGGTATCCCCCCGGGGGCTCCTCCCTACCAAGCCAACGGCCGCCGGCTTGGTACCCCGCCGGCTTGGTACCCCTCCAGGGCCTCCTCCCTACCAAGCCAGCGGCCGCCTTGGTACCCCGCCAGCTTGGTATCCCTCCATGGCCTCCTCCCTGCCAAGCCAGCGGCCGCCGGCTTGGTACCCCGCCGGCTTGGTACCCCCCCGGGGGCTCCTCCCTACCAAGCCAGCGGCCGCCGGCTTGGTACCCCGCCGGCTTGGTACCCCTCCAGGGCCTCCTCCCTACCAAGCCAGCGGCCGCCGGCTTGGTACCCCGCCGGCTTGGTACCCCTCCAGGGCCTCCTCCCTACCACGCCAGCGGCCGCCGGCTTGGTACCCCGCCGGCTTGGTACCCCTCCAGGGCCTCCTCCCTACCAAGCCAGCGCGCGCCAGCTTGGTACCCCGCCGGCTTGGTACCCCCCCAAGGGCTCCTCCCTACCAAGC